AATATACATTAATATTATTTAATAAATTAAGACTGAAAAGTGGCTCTGGGAGAAATTCTAATAAATTAATTCTAAAGAAATAAAGAAGTTCTTATTAAAACATTTATATAGCACTTCTCTGGATACTCCACTCAAAGCACTTTACAGGTAAAGGGGACTCCCCTCCACCACCACCAGTGTGCAGCCCCACCTGGATGATGTAAGAGCAGACATAGTGCACCAGTACACTCACCACACACCAGCTATCAGTGGGGAGGAGAGTAATGATGATTCATAGATGGGCATTATCTGGAGGCCATGATTGGTAAAGGCCAATGGGAAATTTGGCCAGAAACACCGTGGGATTTTTAATGACCACGAGAATCAGGACCTCAGTTTTAAATCTCATCCAAAGAATATCACCTTTACAGTATAGTGTCCCAGTCACTATAGTGGGGCAGTGGGACAAACACAGACTGCAGGGTGAGCGCCCCCTGCTGGCCCACTAATACTTCTTCCAGTAGCAACCTTAGTTTTTCCCAGGAAGTCTCCTATCGAGGTACTGACCAGGCTCACACCTGCTGAGCCTCAGTGGGCTGCCAGCTGTGAGTTGCAGGGTGATATGGCTGCTGTCTTAATTGTATAAGTGATATTGCTTCTACAAGAATGTTTCCATAATTTTACAGTTATAACAATGACACTGATTAGGAGGATATTTTGGCTTTTAGAAGCTCAATTATTATTCATTGATTAAAGTCCAAATCAGCTTACAGCTATACCCAGTTACAGAGCTTGGTATTTGACAGGTATAAAGTACTTGTCTCAAGCGGACCTAACTCCATTATTAACTGCATATAACCGCATATATTTACTGCTTTCTTTAGCGCCTCAGGTAGCAAAAGCATGAAATAGAAATACAAAACAGGAGACAGAAGATGCTACTTAAGTAAAATATTTATTTGTTCATGTCGTCACTTCTTAAAAACCTCTCGACAATGTGGGGAAGCGATATAATGGCAAATTAAATGTTAAGCTGTATACCATAGTTTAAAAAAAACAATTTAAAAGAGGTGATGTAATATTAAAATTATGATCAATTATGATCAATTAAACAAGAGATTTTATTACTAAGGTCTAAGTAGTCCTCAGCCAAAGTTCTTTTTATTGAACAGATGCCCTGCTCGATTCATCAGTAGCTAAAAGGCACAGCCAATTAAAAAAACAGGTGACCTATAAAACCAGAGGGACTGGGGCTTTCCAAGACCATGATTGAAGACATCTGATCTAGATCATTGATATTAATGACAAAGAGCAGGGTTCCTAGTGCAGACCCCAGTGGCATTCCACCTATTGCCTCACTGTAATTACATTTGTTTTGAGTATAACATAATTTTAGCAGTTAAAAATAAGATTCTGTGAAAAAGGATGTCTGTAATCCCATATATTGTTGCTCCCAGACTAAAGTCAAATTAGTCACCTTTATGAGATTGATCAATAAGTGCTGATCCATCTCGTAGAGGTGATCAAACACAAGAGTGAGAACAGGAGCCACGACGATGCTCCTCCGCTCTGTGGAAGTGGCTTTGAGTGTTCAAAGCTGAAGAGCTTACTGTATTTGCTCATCTCCTCGCAAAGGTGGTCAGCTGGGTCAAGATCAATATGTTACACCAGTTCCAGGATGGTTCCTGTCTTTTTTGTATGTCTTTAAATACAGACAGACCTTATGGAAAACAGCACCACCCGGTTCTCTACAAAAATCAGTTATGCTTTTAGATGTCACAGATCTGTAGAAGGAAGGTTTGTTAAATGCTTTAAAATTCCACAGTCTAAAAAAAAAAAAATTGGTCAGGGGATGTCATGAAAGTAGTTTATTAATATTGCATTTACACATGGTTTCATTCACATTAGGCCCCATCCTTCAAATCCACTCTTGAAGTGACCGCCATCAGTCCCAGCACAAGGTGGCAGAATACTGCCTCTCCCTCTTACTGAGTGGAGTCAAGAGGCCAGGTGATACCTACAAAAGAGGGAACAAATAAAAACTGCGAGGCAAAATTGAATATTTGAGCAAACATAAAAAAAATGTCCTTGCCATTTATGTTCTATACAGTATTTTGTAGGGGGAAAATGAGTTTCTTGACTGAACCACTGCTTCCCATGAAGAGCTGAAACATCATTAACTTGGAATTTTATTTTGCTTGCAGTTTCTTCTACGGTTATTGCTTTGACTCCATCCATTCAGAACGAAACCAAACTCCTTCTCCTTTTATTAATGCTGTAACGTGGTGGAATGTACTGTAGGAGATCAAATGTACACATAAAATGTATGCCAGGCTGTATGTAATCATGTGTGAAACTGGTGTCAGGTTTTGGCAACCAACCAAAACTCAAGAAGAATTATGCCTCTCTAGAGTCTTTTGTGGAGCAGTTGTTCAGCAAAATAAATACTTAGACTGCACTATGCAATGTATGGTACACATATTTTGCTGGAATGCCAAATATGATATACTGTACGTTGATTGATAATGCATGTGGAAAAACCAAAGACATATTAAAGACTCAGTATACCACATGTTTGCAGCAAAGTCCATCAGTTCATAAATCTCTGTTGATCATAAATTACCCTCTACCATGATACCAAGATTTCTGGTATATCAGGGGCTTGTGAGTTACACTTTATTTAGGAGTATGCGTGTTTTAGTAGAACACATGGGAAAACATTTCCTATTTTATAATATACCAATATTTTATCAAGATCAGGTCATTTTAAAATGCTGGCAACAATATTTCTCAATGATGTGTGTTTGCAGGTGTTTTCACTGTCTAATTACCATGTATAGTATAACACATAGCAACAATATATTTTATATAGAATACAATATCTCAGTGAAGTTGCAGAAGTTAACAATTGCAGTTAATAGTGTAGTTCCACTTTTTTGCTTTTTCTTTCTTATTTCTTTTCTTATTAAAATAAGAAAAAATAAGTTTCCACATGACAAATAGGTTTTACCTTTCTCTTTATTCTCCAGCACTGCATTAAGCCCATAAAAATATATAACACCTCATGGTTCTTAAAATCTTCTTTTAGTTTCACAAGGGTGCAAAAGATGAATAATTCATATATATGAATTATAAATGTGATCCACCTTGCTATTATATAATTAATCCAGAAGGCATTGTATGTTGGAATATGGTTATGCTGCAACTAATTAAGCATCTTTGAAAGGACATAATGAAGGTTTGTCTTCCGTTTCAAGTTTTGAGTGCACTTTGAAGTTTTAGTGAAAAATGTCCTTATAAATGGAAACTTTGCAGTGTCACACGAGTGGCTCCTTCAGACTATGATGGAAATACTTTGATGAGCAGACAGAGCCTGTTATGGCCTCACAGAATATTCCCATGTAGTCTATGCGTGTCACTAGGACATGTGTACGGTATATGACTTGGGACAAGCAAATACACAGTATATCTAGTAAGAAATCACTGCTACCTTAAGATGTGGATATGGAGGTTTAGTGTTGCCAGGAGCCTAACCTTGCAAGGCAAAGGGTAGAACTGCACCCTGGATAAGCAGCCAGCAGCCATATCACCCTTCAACTCACAACTTGCAACCCACTGAAGCTAAGCAGGTGTGAGCCTGGTCAGTACCAGGATGGGAGACCTCCTGGGAAACACTAAGGTTGCAGTTGGAAGAGGTGTAAGTGGGGCCAGCAGGGGGCCCTCACCCTGTGGTCCATGTGGGTCCTAATGCCCCAGTATAGTGATGGGGATACTATACTCTAAACAGGCACCGTCCCTCGGATGAGATGAAAAAACCAACGTCCTATTGGCCCTTACCAATCATGGCCTCCTAATAATCCCCATCTATAAACTGGCTACATTACTCTGTTCTCCTCCTCACTGATAGCTGATGTGTGGTGAGTGTTCTGGCGCACTATGACTGCACATTAGCGGCGGTGGAGGGGAGTCCCCATTACCTGTAAAGTGTCCAGAAAAGTGCTATATAAGTGTAAGCAATTATTATTATAAGATGCCAATTCATTGCACATAGAGGTACAATATAGAGATGAGGAGAAAACCCATGTGGACACAGGGAGAACACGCAAACTCTAGTTCAGATTATCGATCCAAACCTTGTAAGTCAGAGCAGACTACATGACTACATGAAATATTTGAATTGAGTAGTTGGGTTGCAATTCAAAATTTAATACAACACAAGC